CTAAACATTAATTGAAAATATGAAATATTCTTAATATTTACGGGAGGTGAAGATTTAACTATTTCATGTATTGTATTTAACCATTCATACCCACAAACAGCATATCGGATGCAGTACTTTAGATTATACGTATCTAAGGTTCTCGATTTTTTTCATTCCGTTCAGTCAATTCGGAGATTTTTATGGGACTGTAAATGCCAATAATTCGATCGTTCCAGCATACCCTTAAAACAGATTAGACGAGGTCGCTTGATACGACAGTCTATATTTAAAGATAGGATCAGTTATATTTCACTTCTGTTAATCTCTTGAAGATCTAGGGCCGTCCGACGACGTTATTAGGCCCCGGATGACACGAGGGTCGGATGTCTAATCGACCTAGGAATAATGTGTCGCGTTTGCCGGGAACTTCGTCCCCGGCCGAGCTTGCTCCAAGGGATATTCTAATCCGCTCCTGAGAGCTCCCAACCCGGTTCTCGCAGAATCCCGAGCAGGAAGAGGGAAGCGAGAGGTGCCGTATGTGCCAGCCCTCCGCTTATGTTGCAAAGCTCGCTCGCCAGGATAGACGACGAAGAACGGAGGGTGCAGGAGGGGTCAGGAGGGGGAGGAAAACGATAATTCGGCTCATTCGGTGGTTGAGCTCCAAGAACGGAGACTCCAGTCCTCGCTCGGGGTGAGCAACTGCGGGCCATTTTCTACCCTCCCCCTTCCTCTTCCCTCTTGATATCGCTGTTAGACGGCGAGTACCGAAATTCCGCGCTAATCTCGATTTACGACACCGCGGCAAATCATATGTGCCTCTGGCGATTCTCTCCCTCGCGTCTTCGCGTTATTAGCCGGTTATCAAGCCGCCGTGTTTCTGAACCATCGGCTGTATACATTGATTGCGTGTGTCCTAGGCGTGGCAAAACAACTTTAAAAGGCGTATACAGATTATAAGTGAAACAAAAGATCCCTATACGAATAAATCAAATAAATAAGAAATCTCGAAATGTACGGTTGAGGCTTAGATTTTGGTACTCAATAATATTTCTAATAATAATGACTAAATTAAAAATACATCGTTCAGTTATATAAACTGCGCACCAAATTACTATCGAATTTGTAACATTATATATTGAGATTATAGATTGAAATAATAATCTCGTAAATTGATTATCGATTTGATAAAAATATTAGTATCATAAAATACTGTAAAGATTAGCCTCGACTATATTTAACACTTTCTCATTTGATAATTTCCTTTAAAAGACATTTATTATGATCATATCGGAGACAAAAAAATTAAACGATGAACATGAGCTAACTAGAGTTTCTTCATAAATAGGATAATTCCGGCAAATACGCCGCGCTGGGATTTACGCCGCACAGAAGTCAGAAAAAATAGAAGGAATGGGAGTAATTTTCCCGCAATTATACTCTGTTACATGCCTTTATGTTATATTAGTATTGTGTCATGATTTCAGCTTCTTATACTGTTAATATTAATGAATTTATTGTGAGTTGAATTTGTCACTGTAATAAGTAACACCATCGTAAATGATAATCTACATAAAATGATTAATGTAGGGCGTGTAAAAGACTTAGTGGTTATTTGATGATACGTACGTGTAATGGAATAGTAAAGCATGTGTGTAGCAAAATACAGGTGTTTTGGTTTCGTATTCTTTATTTAGTTTGTTGTCTTGTATATCCCACCTGTTTGGGATATATGACATTTTCAATAGGCGGGATTTATGCCCAAAGCATACAAAGTGCGCAGATTGAATTCAGTGCACTAAATGCAATATACGCATTACGTGAAATATAGTATGTACCTCATGCCATAACACTTGTAATACATCTGGGAAGATTGTAATTATTATTTATTATTTCATGTACATATTTATCATTCTTATTCCTTAATAAAACTTTATATACGCATTTTATAAGTTATTGTGTCATTTTACGTCTTATTTATATGCATTATTTGTAAATTTTTCATGAGCCGTGCATATTCCCCTTTCTCCCCCCCCCCTCTTTTCTTCCCTCTATGAGTAGCCATATATCACACCCCTATACGGCGGGATATACGGCAAAAATGCAAAGGTTTCAAAAAGTTTATTTTTTAATATAAAAAAATAAATATTTCAGATTTCTAATATTTTTTTCATAGTAGTAGACAGTACAAAGTTTTTACCGATATAGTTCGTTTACTATAAACATAGTAAATAATATTTAATAAATTAAGTTGTTAACAGGTGCAGCGAATATACCGGAATTATCCTAATCACTGAATAATAAATAAGCAATAATAGCTTTTCTAATTCATTTCTAAAATACGTGGTAATTTTCTAGAAACCTTAATTACATGAAAACTTAATCTTGCTAATTTTTTAATATTTCAACAATGTTAAAATCAACTCTGACCCGATCGAATGTGACCTATATGTGTCGTTTAAGTGTCTAATCTAAAATAAGTGCCTTAGATTAAGACAAGGACGGAAATAAGAATTTCAAAAAATATTATATTTAACCGCATATTTAAAAGCTCGCGAAGGGAAGAAGGAATAGAATTACTGTTCTCCAGTCTAAGATATAATGATATACGTACAAAGGCCGTCGAAATTGTTGAACTATGTTTGTATCGCGAGCATACTCGACAACTATCTGCCGGTGGCGCATAGGATCCGCGAATTTATCAATTTCGTGTATTCCTCCGGAAGTTCCCGGTGGCCGGCGTGGCGAGAGAGATTGTCTGGAATGTCGCCAGGCGAGCAATCGTTCGTCCAGCTGGAAGAAGAACTTTGCGAGGTGTGCCTGGAAGCCTTTGTGAGAGAAAGTGGCGAAAAAGAATGTACGAAGGTGGACTCGAGGAAGAAAAGGAAGCGTGGACTGAGGTAGATAGAAAGAGTAGTTAACAGAATGGAAGATGGAAGAAAGAAAGAGAGGACAAAGTCTGCAGGGCGAAAAGACCACGAAATATCTGTCAATCGCAAGAGCGGGGAGGATCGCGGCGGCGAAGTCGATTTAACGCCCGTTAAGGAAGCAATTCCTTTAAGAAGGACGAGCACCTCGCCCGGAAGGACAACGTAACCCCAGAGATCCTTGACCCTTGGCCGGGGTCGCTCTTACGACCTCTTCTCCGCGGGGAATCGCTTCTGCGCCACCATTATCGGCGGACGAATAGAACATCAATAACCAATTTCGTAAGACTAATATCGCGAAAATTAGTTTTCCTCCCCCTCCCTCCGAGGTCCTCTCCCGCGCGTCCTTCGTATTTCATCGCCGCCGGTACCTTTCGTTAAAAGATCGTGGACCTGCTCGATAGCGACGTTCATGGTTTTCTTAATGTCCATCCACGGGTGGCGAACGATCTCGTGAATCTCCTTTTATCGTCGCGCTATAGTCGTTTTTCTCCGCATCTTTCGCGCATCCCCTTCCTTTTTTTTTTTTACACCCCGGCAGATATATCGCAGTGACGTCATTACGTCGAAGCGACGTGGCAAATTTTTTAACTGGCACCTTTCCACGGATTTGTAGGAATCTCAACGACAAATTCAGTATTCTCAAATCGAAGTTGCTACTGCATTTTCTACTGAAAGCATCGCGATGTCAAAGCTACGACGGATTGACTTCGTCGGACTTCTTTCGTCGTATTTACATAATTCTCAGAGTCACTCTTAGAAAGAATGTTATTGGGTCAAACAGTCAAGAGCGTAAGATTACAATTTCTTTTTTTTTAAAGGAAATCAGAAATCATACATTATTAAAAATTTCATGTAATTTAATATACTTTAAGTTGTACATTTTAACTTAATTTCATGACATTATATTAAATTTAATGTATTTATAACTAAAAAGTATATTTGTGCACGTGTACATGAAAAATGTACTTTTCATAAAATTTTATGAAATTTAATGTACATGTTCATTATATTTAAGTAACTTAATTTTCAGTCAAATCGTTCAACACTTTTAATTTCGTTCAACTAACTACGAGCTTCGTTTATACGTAAAGAAAGCGTTTCTAACAGTGTAAAAATCAAATACAAGTGAAACAAGAGTAAATTTTATTAAATTTCACGAATGGGACATTACAGACACACGTCACTCCTATGCTTGAGACTCAGCTACGATCGCGTGAAGTTACGTTGCGTGATCCAAGGAACACAAGTCAAAAGAAAATGAAAATGACTTTATTTTGACGTCATGAAAGTCTAAATGACGATTTTTGGTTATAAAATTTCACTATTTATTGACGTTAAGAATCAAAATAAAATCATTTTGATTTTTCGTTGATTTGCATGTGTTCCTTGGAAAGGCGACGACGTCCCGTTTAAACCGTCGATGCGTGTCGGCGCAGATCGTGCTGGGATGCAAATTCCACGGTTTTTCCAATAGCGTTGATGAATAAGGAATCGTGAGGTGGCGCGCCGTGTGCGAGTAATGAAATGGAGTACGGAAGGGAAGAGTGGCATAAAGACCTTGTTGGAAAACTGAGTTTCATCAAGCACTGGCCCCCTTTCTCAGCCCTTCTCTTTCTCCTCCTCGTGTCGCAATCTCGACTCCTTTGTGTATATACATTCGCTCTTATCAGAACGTGCGCTTGTAGAGGATGGGCGACATCGGAGAAGGCCCGAAACGAAACAGAATTTTGCGTACCAAAGTTGACGAAGCACCAGCTATGCATTATTCCGCCCGGCCCTTTGTGCGCGCATCGTGCCGTATCTGTTACCAGTTTTCGCGCGTTCTCTCGTACTTTTTCATCCCTTTCTTTGTTGCCGTCGATGACGGCCGCTCGGTAAAGAAATCGACCGGTGCATCCAGCATGTACCTTTTTCTCTATTAATAAAAATTACATTTGTGGTGTTTTTGCTTAAATAACTTGGAATTAATGTTGCGGAATTATATAATAACGCATGAATACATTATTGTCTAAATGTAAATAACGTGATATAATTATGCGGCTAGTACATTGCGCGAGTGGAGCACGTCATGAACAAAAGCTAATCGATTTTAATAAATGTCACTCGTCCATATATCATAACGTCGGATAAATTTGCAATATAACAGACACTCGTTAAAGTTCTGTAAAATACTCCGGCTAAAATTTAAAATATGAAGAAATGAAATGAAGGATCAATGAAACTAAGGATCAATAGTTTAAGTATTAATAATTTTTTCAAAATTGTATCATGATCTCCCATGTAAGTTTAATTTCTGCTGTTAAAAAGCATTACGTTTGTTATAGTTATTTCTATATTAATTTATCGTAATCAAAGGAGCTTATGAGTTTATCATTATTTCCACGTTTAATCGCGTAATAAATTAAACCTTAGAGCTTATTAAATGGTTTTTTTCTGCCTCTTTAACCTATATACTTCATTCCAATTAATATTCTTCATTTGCCAAGGTTTTTTTTATGAAAAAAAGTGATTGGATGCCTCTTGACTCGCGATATAATTATCACTGCTTTAATTCGTCAAGCGAAGGTTACGAAATATGAAAAGAGGGACGAAGTGTGTCGTACAGACTATTAATCTGTCCAATCCGAAAACATGCAAAAGACCGAAGGTTAAGAGAGTCACTAGCGCGAATGTGAATTCTCGCAATCGTGCAAGTGCTAGATCAGCGGCAGTTAAAGTTTACTCGTGGAAAGACGCCCAGTGGAGGTATCCGTCAAAGGTAAGGGAAGATTATCGAAGTTTTCAGATTTAATAAGTTCTAGAATTTGCAAACACATTTAAGATGAGTAAATATTCGTACAATAATACATCATCAAACTTTTGACTCAACTTTGAGATAAAAATAGCGCTAATGCCGCTGCATTGTTCAACGTTTGACAAATGAAAATATCGTAATAGAGAGAGAAAAGCATCAAAATTTTTGATACGAAATTGAATGAGCATTTCACGCGAATCGCGAGGTATTCAATTCTCAGTTAAATCATGTGGCTTGTCGCTGTGTCGAGCATTCAGTTGGTCCTCGCGCGATATTGACACGCCGCGTAACGAGATGATGGTGTTCGAGCACCTGTACGGAATTGGTTAGTCGATACGTAGCTGCGTTTACCTGGAATTAGCTCGACAGTCGGTGTACACTACAGCGATGGATCTCTAATGGAGGAGGTCTGAGTCCCTGTAACTGTTATCGAGATATCGTTGAGGTCTTGGAGGTAGCCGAGCACGACAACAAATAGCGTAATGGAATGTAATTTATTTAATGAAAGTTGTCACAAATTTCTCCTAAAATTTCTTTACTTTTCCTGATTTCTAGACAAAATTTTATAATTTTCCTTGGCTTTCAATAATACTCTGAAATTTTTGGTCTTTCATCCTGATTTGGAAACTGTTAAATTTTGCAGAGATTAATTTAACATGGCGATATTAAATTACTATTAATGTCACCGACACTGCTTGCATTTTTAATTGTTAAGTTCGTAGTATTCCAACAAATTGTATAGGTATTATGTACATATATTAAACTTCTTTAAAACCAAGATTTTTAATTTTCCAGAAAATTTTACAAAATTTCCCGACTTTTCTCTGATTTTCCTTATCGTTTCTAATTTTCTTGACAATTCCCTGATTTCCAGTTTTAGCAATCTTGTACGACACATTTATATTTTCATACATTTCAGCGATACTCTAATTTAAAATATAGCGTTAAATCATATTCTTAGAGAAACGTATAATTAAGAGAAGTAAGAAAACAAAGATGATGAATATTGTATGAATCTAATTACGTGTTTTTTTTTAGCTATTTCAAATATATTAGTGTTCAAACATTTAGTGTTCTTCATATTAAAATATTTAATTAATTTTATTATATTATTTATATTATTTAGAGTAGATTAAAATCAAATTAAATCCAGACATTCTTAAATACTTGATATGATAAAAATTTGTATCCGATATCTATTTAGGCGTTTAATTATTTGAGCAATAAGTGAAAATTAATTATTTAAATGTCACCTTTATTCGTGCAGCCCTGCGAACCTTTTCCGGAGAAGTCTCGGCCGTCTATGACCAGCTCAGTTCTTTACAGGACTGTGGTGTTTTTTATAAAAGGCGCTATCGTTGCTTGTCTCATCTGTTGGACCTGTACAGAAGGCCTTTGGGGCAGCAATATCGAAACGGAAGAACTGTATTACAGAATGATGAGCGTGATTTTCCCTGATCAGCAGGTAAATAAGCAGGTAAATAAGCGTCAAATTTAGCATTAAGAGCTGCACGCACAGGTTTCTCTTATAATACATATTTCTCGTAGACAAATTTCAAGGAAATAAAATACTCCGTGTTCAAAACGTACAATAATATGTTGATGAAAGGCATAGATGTCATGATCAGCGTGCCACGCGATGCGTATCGAAGACTGCAAGAATTCTTTTCCCCTTGCAGTGAAACGAACGAAAGAGAGAGGAGACGAAATGCTTTGACGAGAATTGAGTAGAAATACCATTTCGCAAATTGTGCGTGTCAAATTTTGAGATACCGATGTGGATGTACATCATACGATATTTCCTTTACAAAAAATTTATATGAAACTTTTAGTTTGTTACTCAGAGTCGATTCTTATTTTAAAATCGTCTTATGTTAGATCATGTCCTGAGATATAATTCTGTGAGTGGTTTTTTAAGACTGTACTTAAATATTTTAAGACATTTTAAGACTGTATTATATTATATTAAAATGATTTTAAATATAAGAACCGACTATGAATATCAACCTGTGGTTGATTTATGACATCTTAAGATGGTATTTAAGGCGTTCTTAAATAAGAATCGAGTACCAGTCTATATATTAATATTGTACGTGGAATTTAAGTGAACATGTGATTGACTGTGAGATCAGAAATTTCTGTAGCGTTAACGTGCAAATAAATGTATTTAAAATTTACTGCGTTGTTCGCGCAGGTTGTCGAAGATAATCTAACTAACGTATCCCTTTCTTTCTTAGTTTTTTACATACAGAATGCTACATACAGAGTCCGCGGATATACGAGACAGGATTAAAATTCCGCGCGACATCCTTTCCATTTTTTCTCTCCCGCGATGCTCAAGGGCACACGTGGGAGTTTCCAAGGTGTGCATATCAAGCGATTTTTATGGCCTACCTATGTATCGTCGTAAAATCTCAGATAAAAATCTTAGAAGCCGAGATAAAAATTCGCGTTTTCATTACACCGCCCTTTCATATCTCTTCGCTGCAGTGTCTTACAGTGCAAATGTTACTATATACACGTCGCGACGGCTGATGTACGAGCCGTTAAGGAGAGAATATTTTTCGAGTCGGATTCGCGCGATGCATTCGCTTTCGCAACTCGCGATACCTGAAAGAAAGCGAAAAAAAAAAAAAAAAAAAAAACTTACGTGCGAAACCAGGGCCTTCCTCGTGCATACCGTGAATTTCTCAAAGCCGCCAGCTCCGCCGTGACTCCTCAGACTCCTCACGCGTCGAGCATTCCTTTTTCGTCGAACCAGAAAGAAGTTTCGACCCCCATTTTTCAGGAGCGTCTATCTCCTTTTTGCGGCACGTGAACGTCGTTTGTCAGGGTACCTATTTTACTTTATAAGCGCGCACCTCGCTCTCTCCCGCGAGTTGTATACCGCGTCGTTGCGCGCGGAAAGGGACCATCGCACGTAAAAAAATTTCAGTCGTAACCGTAAGATCGCAAGCATGACTAGCCACAGTTGGGCGTTTTACGAACACAAGTTCGTAATTTTCATTGTGATTTTTACTTACGACTTTACGATTTACGACTGAAACTTTTTTACGTCTAATAGTCGTAATACCGGCTTAGTGAATAAAGAGTATCAAGAAAGAGGATCAATAATGCATTATTTTTGGTGCGACAGATGTAATGTTATTAAAGTGAATACGATTATTAATAATCGGTATGAAGTTTTATAATGTATCATATATTTTATCAAATGGATCAGTATTTCTTTATCATTTTTTCTTTCGAAAGTAAATTAAAATATGTAATTAGTTGCTGCCTGCATGGCTTTTCTAAAATCAAACATTTTATACATAATAATAATATATAATAATATATATACTCGCTATTTTTGTATTCTCAGTGATGTTACGTATTACAAGATTAACTCAAAGTAGAGATCTTTAAGTAAGAGATTGGGCATTATAAGTTTTGAGATCAGCCACATTTTTTAGGCTTGCTTAAGGTAGAACGAGATTATCCACGCACTTCGCTCTATCTTATGCATCTGTCTGATTCCATCTTAAGTCCTGAAAAATATGAGGGACCAATCAGAGCTCGTCTAAATAGTGTCCAATCTACTGTTACTTGAGGATCTCTAACCCAAAGCAAAACCCAGCAATATCGTGATACGCTTCTCTTATTTAATGTGCGGTTTTATTTCGCCAGGACGCATTTTAAATAAGTACCTTAGAGATTCGGACAATTAAACAGTTTATTCAGATCAAAACATGGTGTAGTATATACATACGAGTTAGTTAAACGATATCGGGTCGCGTGACGGACAAGGGTAGTGGAGGGAGAAAGGGAAGAGGGACGAGGGAGGGTCTGATATGAAATCACCTATACAGTGAACTTGAGGTTCGGGCTTACGACCGCCGATCGATTTACATGGACTCTCTCGCGTCGTTACAGCTGATTATGTACAGTCACATTACTCGCTACTGTTACTTTTTCGTGATCGCTTACGCTTATCTTCTTTTTTTCTCTTCTTCACACTTGATTGTTGAGTCACGCCGACCGAGAACGTGACTTTCAATACCTACTTTCGAGCGAGTCTCCTCGCAACACGCTCGCTCGCTGAATAAGATTCTCGCGCCTGTATGAAAAAGATTGATATATCCCCGACATTTCCTGTTCTTATAAAACGAATACGGGCAGTATAATATTCCGTCTTATTCTAATTCTCTCGGTCCGCCATGATGCGTCACCACCATCGCTCATCCTTGAATTTCGAACGATTCTCGTGGACGTGAAAGATATGTGATATCGATTGATTAATTTTTCGACGATCGTTCGGTAGCGATTGCTAGGGCCAAGGGATTCGTTGCAAATTGAAGATAAGTAAAGGAAGATAAGTAAAGGAAAAAGATTACGTAGATCGGAAAATTCTAAATCAGATCTGTTAGGGCAAGAGCACACGATGGACAAAGATGGACCGGTACTCATAATCAGTTCTTATCTCAAGACCGTTTTAAGTGACCCTCTAATTGGTTCGTGACATCTCAAGACTGAACTCAAGACGATTTTGAATTAACTATGAATACCATTGTTAATTCTTATATTCAAGATTAAGTTCAATCTTGAGATGTCATGAACTAATCAAAGAGCATTAGCGTCTTAAGACATTACTTAAGGCGATCTTGAAATAAGTACCGACTACGAATACCGGCCAAAATTTTGGCCAACTGTGTCATTTACGAAAAATCCTTGGCATTGTTTTACCGTGCATATGGATTCACAATTTTAACCCTCCGATAACATGAATTTTAACTGTTCTATTAGAAATAGAGTTTTTTCATTGTTCCGGATTATACATGCAAAAATTTTAAAAAATTCTGATATCTTATTAACATTGTTTTAACAAATGAATTTTTACTGTCATGGAAGTTGGATTGCATTAACTTTTTTACAAATTTAAATTTATCTACCAAACAGTTAAATATCAGTAAAGACCTCAATTATTGGCGAAAGATTAATTATAAGCAGAAATTAGACCGATAAGAATAAATCAAATAAAAGGAAGCATCCTACTTTTGATCGAAGCGAATGTTGATGCATAATGATATTCATATGTAAATTTTCGTAAATACATTTTTTTCAATTCAATAAACTGCGCGCTGATTCGATTTGTCGGACTTAAAATGCAATCGTAAACTGCATTATTAAATAAACATTATTATTAAACTGACAATCAATCTAATTTGAGATATCAATATTAAAAAAGTTTAATTGTTTTCCGTAAACGATACAACAGTCGACCGACATTTCGGCTATCGTGTGATCTTGCATTTATTAGAATTCACGAAATTCTCGACGCCTAAGAGAGGAGAGAAAATGGAAAAAAATAAGATCCTTTTTTTCTTCTCTTAAAAAGGAAGAATCATTGTACGATGAAGGAATAACGGAGCTACGTTTCATTTGTAATAAAAAGATTCAGGGAGTTTAAAAAATACCTTCATCTACGGACACAAAAATCCGATCCTGGCATCGTCAAAAAATCGCAACGCCGCGACGACAGTTCAATCGATGAGGAGAGCGTGAATTTGAAAGATCTCAGCGGAACTCGTTGTCGAACGTTTTCGTGTCAAACATGAACGCCGATGGAAATAATTTCCACAATTCTGCTCTCGCGTGGATAAGCGACGGAAAGTTAAACGAGGCGCTCGACAAGTCGTTCCGCTGAACTTCCTCTCGAAAACTTGAACGTTACCAACCTATCGTTAGACTTTCCCGTGATAATATATACAGCGATATATTAACTAACGAGCAACCATCGTACTTGACCATTATCTCTTTATATACACTGAAACATCACACACCCGACAATTGATTCGACGTTATTCGCCTCTCGAGGATAGCGACTATTTCGCGTTACCAACGAGACTCTCGTTATTCATTCCTCGGTCTGTCACTCACTCTCTCTCTTTCTCACTCTTTCTCCCTCTCCTCTTTTCTTTTTTTCTTTTTTCTGTTTTTTTTTTTTACACATTACGAGTCTATCGATCATCCAAAGCGCGAACTTTTCCACGAGCAAAGTTCGCGTTACACCGTTTCCATTACGCTTTTCGTCGATTCGTTAGCTCCATTCTCGGCGCAGAAGTTTCACGACTTCGTCGCGAAGTGTCACGTGGAAGACCAGTTTTTGCAAAACCTTACAAAGTGAAGCTTACCTCGCGCGAGAACGCAAAGAACATCGCGAACGCCGTCGCGTTATGTCCCTTTTCGACTTTTCCTTCTTTCTTTTTTTCCCCCGTCAGGAATCGAACGCGAATAACGGTGATAACGATTTGACAAAGGACCCGTTAAAATTTTCTGTTTATTTACACACACGCACACGCACACACACGCACATACACATACACACACATACACACACCCCGATGGGAATTTTTAAAACGTTTGAGAGCGTCCGAGTCTTGCAAGAGTAGTATTTTTTTTCATCATTCGGCGGGGAATACAGACAACTCATATCAGCGCGCGCGCGCGGTAGAAAAATTTATAAATGCTCTATCACAATTATCAATAGAGTATAATGTGCGCCTGGGTTTTATTTCCGTAAGAATCGCTTCCACTTTGTACGTTACGCTGCTCGGCGTGGTTCGATTTTCATCCCTCTTAAGATGCGACGAGAGGTTGCCTCTTCTCTCTCTCTCTCTCTCTCTCTCTCTTGACTGTCCATTAATTCAATTGTATTTACTTGACATCGTAAAAATTAAATGGCAGTTATTGTAGATTACGCGATCGATGCGATCTTGAGATTCGATATGTAGACACGTTCGATAACTTACAAGCGCTTTTTCTTTATCTCGAGATTTTCTTGAATTTTAATATCGTTATCAT